GGAGAAGGGATTGCGGCATGACCATCCCCCCTGGGGTGTGATTTCTCGCTTTCTGTCTCTATGTCTCTGTCTGGCGAGCGCACGCGCCCTACAGTGAAAATCTCTCAAAAAAAAAATTGGAATAATAATAATAACCTAAAAAAATGAAAAGCTATTCGATGATGATGATGGGGATTTTAATGTCTTTTATTGACTGGTATGAATGGTATTCCTTCTGGAAAAAGAAATGTAATACACTATAAAGTTATATGTGATTCAATGTAATATAAACAAGATTATGATAATAAAACATTTTTTTAAAAAGTACATGAGGGAGAGATGTGGAAACATTAGAACACTCCAATTTTGCTGGTAGAAATATAAAATAAAGGACCAGCAGTTGGCATAATTGGCTATGTTGCTGGACTCCCATGTAGTCAACCACAGTTTGAGTCTTGGACCTGGTGGCTTAAACTCATGCCAGGCATGTATGTGTGCATGCCCGGGATCCTGAGAGGAGAATGGAGGAGAAGGTGATTTCTCGCTTTCTCTCTCTCTGTCTCTCTGTCTTTCTGGTGAGCACATGCGCCCTATAGCAAAAACCTCTCAAAACAAAGCAAAACAAACAAAAACAAACAACAAAAAATGATACAGACACTTTGAAAAACAGTTTGGCATTTCCTGAAAATGTTAAACCTAGAGTTATCATACAACCCAGCAGTTTTGCTCCTAGGTATATACTCAAGGTAAATTAAAACATGTATTCACATAAAAACTTATGTGAATGTTTATAGCAGCATTAATCATAATAGCTAAAAAGTAAAAACAATCCAAATGTCCATCAACTGATGATGGATAAATGTGGAATATCTATATAACAGAACCATATTTTTATTTTTTAATTGGCAATAAAAAAGGATAGAGTATTGATATGTGCTACAACATGGATGAACCTTGAGAACATTACACCAACTGAAGAAAGCCAGTTACAAAATACCACATACCATATTATTCCATTTATATGAAATGTTCGGAGTAGGTAGAGACAGAGTAGATTAGTGGTTTCTCAGGGCTAAATGTCTTGGGGGTAGATGGGGAGTGTTTGTTGATGGGTATGAATTTTCTCTTTAGGGCGATGAAAATATTATAATACTGACTGTGATGATGGTTGCATAACTCTGTGAATATAGTAAAAACCATTAAAGTGTACTTTTAAATAGGTGAATCATATGATCTGTGAATTATATCTCAATAAAGCTTTTTAATTTTTTTTTTAAAGAAAATTACACAGTGCCTGACTTTAGGGAACCTACAAGGTAATTGGAATTTTTTGTTGTTATTGTTCTCCATCGTAAAAGTGCTGGTTACTCTAGTCTCACTATGTCAAGATCCTTCTGCTTCAGCCTCTTGAGTAATTAGTACTACAGGCATGGGACAACGTGCCTGGCTTTTCTGGATGGGCCAGGAATTGAACCTAGGCTTCCCATGTGGGCTCAGCTTGCATCCAGCACATGCTACCACAGCTAGACCTTTTTTTTTTTTGATTGGTCCAGTATTTTGGAGCTTAGGATGAAAGTTGCAGGGAGATCTTAGAGGGAGAAAAGGCAGAGAACTAGAGCAAGTGAGAATCTAAGTTGCTGAGTCTTTTGAGAAGGGCGTGGGAAGTGTGTTCACTCTCCTAGCCAATGTAATTAGGTAAGTACTGTCTTCCAAACTCCAAACATGATTACCTTTTATTGAGATTTCTACTTTTGGTTGTGGAGTTTGGAACCAAGTTGGCCCAGCCATCTTTTTTGGTCCAAAAAAACACTAAATAAATATATGAAACATTGACCTGCTGTCCTCTCATCTCCCACATCTGTTTGAAGATCTGGATAATTGGTGGGTGTAGAAAAAAAGCCATGGAGAACTTGTGTTTCTCTAGAAAATGTGAAGGTGACAAGGAGCTGGAAAATGACTCGAGAAGACTGAAATCTAGGAGTAAAATGCTCTGAAAACTTCCTACTAATATATAATGGCGAGGGATTGGCAGGTGGTGTGGTGGTTAAAGGTGCTGGCTTTCCACATAGCAGAGCACAGTTCGCATCCCGGACCTGGTGGATTGCTTTCTCCCTTTCCCTTTCTGTCTCTCTCTGGTCAAATTTTAAAATAATAATAAGTAGAATTAAATAAATACATCTTTAAATATTTAACATATATGTATATACGGCAAGGTACTTGGACTTGATGACTGAGTTGACTCCTATGTGGGTTTTTTTTGGAGAGATTTTCGCTATAGGGCGTGTGTGCTCGCCAGACAGACAGAGAGACATAGAGACAGAAAGCAAGAAATCATCCCCCAGGGGGGATGGTCACGCCACAATCCCTTCTCCTCCATTCTCCTCTTGGGATCCTGGGCCTGCACACGCACATGCACCCGGCGTGAGTTTTAAGCCACCGGGTCTGGGACGCGAACCGTGGTCGACTACGTGGGAGTCCAGCGACATAGCCATTACGCTAACTGCTGGTTCCCTCCTATGTGGTTTTGATTCTAGTCTTGTTTCCTTCCTTCCTTTAAATCTAAATTTTAGTGGGAACAGCAGTTGGCAGCATAATGGCAATGTCGCTGGACTCCCATGTAGTCAACCGTGGTTCGAGTCCCGGACCCGGTGGCTTAAACTCATGCCAGGCGAGTGTGTGTGCATGCCCAAGAGTCCGAGAGGAGAATGGAGGAGAAGGGATTGCGGCATGACCATCCCCCCTGGGGGGGAGGGTGATTTCTCACTTTCTGTCTCTCTGTCTCTTTCTGGCTAATGCACGCACCCTATAGCAAAAACCTCTCCTAAATAAATAAATAAATGAAAAAATCTAAATTTTGGTAATTTGAGTACTTATCACACTCATTTGCTCTGAACAGCCCCTTAAACAGAGCCTTGCCTGACAGAAAAGAGGAATATGGGTAAGTGTGGGAGGCAGAAAAAGCTAATGAATGAATGAATAAATGAGTGAATGAATAAATTAACTCTCAAAAATAAATTAATTAATTAATTAACTTTCATCATTGGGAAACTCAGTATAATGGGAGAAACAAATATTCAGATTTAGAACTTAAGAATCAACAAGTAAGAAGACTTCTTTATTTGGAAAAGCTTTGTGAATGAAAAAATGTCAAGCTAGATTTTAAAGAAAGTTCAGAATGTACAGGGTCACAAAGAAGAAATTTCACCCCAAGCAGTCTGCTTAAAAGTAATTGAGGAAGCATTCCCTCCCATGTCACTGGGCCCCAACCACAGGAATAGTACCTGCCCCAGAGCTGGTGGACTATGACCCTTTGCCTGCATATCCTGAGTGATTTGATGTAATCAGGTGATGTCCAGGTAAAAGTCAACCAAGGGAGCAAACTAGGGGATACTACGAAGTAGTGTTCGGCTTAGGTCTTAACTAGAGCTTTTAGTGCACTGGCAGTTGCCTTTAAAGAGGTAAGCGAGGTAGAAGCCCTTACTGTTGTGTTACCTACACCAAAACAGACTTCTGTTCTGCTCTGGCCAGTACTACGCTCTGCTTCTTATCCCAACTTGCCTAATTGATACCTTGGCCGATGGTGTCATTAACAATGCTTGAATAATAGCCTGACCGGCTGATTTCAAAATGGGAGAGGTGATTAATATGTCGGAAATCCAGCTGGGGGCAGCAGGGAAGAGGATGTTCCAAGACATAAATATGGGGGAGAAGTCCTTCTGTTCCCCTCAGTGCCTATCCACTGTCTTCAGCAGCAGGGAAGAACTTGGGGACAGGAGTCTGGTTTCCAGCTCCTTGGCTTGCTGATCTCTTATTTCTCTTCCCCACCTCCCCCAACAGCACACGTTCTGACACCTACAAGCTCGTTACATGATGATGACCTATATTTTTATCTTTTTTATGAGCATCAAACACACACCGTCTTGCAAGCACATGTGTTTTTCTCCTATTGACGTGTGAGTGCCTTTGATGGTAATTTATTGTAGGGTTGAGCAGCCAGGTCTTAATTGTACCCTAAAATTGCTTACCATTTTGATGCCTCCAAACCATCCTAAAATGTACCTTTTTCCTACAGAAGGGTGTGGGACAATCCTTTTTTTACTGTCTTCTATGGTGGAATGTGGAGCTTACAGAAAACGAGAGATTTCCCAGCTGAGTTTCAGGGACGCCTTGGTCCCCAGCTTCTAATTGCAGTTGGGCTGTGTGAATGT